ATTTTTTAAAATATATTTTTATTTAATTTTTTATCTTTATTTTAATGTGTTTGCTTAAATAAAAATAATTTGAAAACTGAAAAAAAATTTTTTGTTTGTTCCAAGTTTAACCTCCACAGAACCGTGAGCGCTAGAGTTAGTATTTTATGTTGGTTTGTATGAAATTGTGTCGGTATTTCGGTATATTTTACCCAGAGTTGTTTCAGTGTTTTGCTTCGCAATGCCAGAGTCGCAGCTGGACGCAGACTTTCTAAACGGATTCTGATTCAGGAAAGATACACGCAATGCGTAGTCATAGTGTAGTCGCCGGCTCTGGGCAGCTTCAGAAGTTATAGACTACTTTAGCAAGAAAAAGGTGAAAATAATGGACACCTGGCAGGTATCGATTTACCTGTACAAGCCCACACAAAACTACAATTTTTTTAAATTTGGATAAGAGTTAATGAATGTAACTATCATTTAAAAAATCATGACCATTGGTTATGTAGTTTTTGTGTAATATTACCTGAAAGTCGACTAATTTACCTATTTTTTGTTGTATGACGCATACACGGAAAACAATTTCGACTTTGAATGCTCATATCTTCCACAAAAAAATCTGAAAAATTTTTTGGTTACAGATTTGGAATCCCTGGTATTCTCCCTGGAATTCTCTGTCGAATTTGTATGGTTTAAAACGATTTTGCGATTATGAATTTTCCTATTTTTGCAACGGCTTTTGTTCGAGAGGCGCTACTGTGGGGCGGTCGAAAGGGAGAAATTCGGAACGGCAAAATCTTATTGGCAGTTAGTTCAACGGACGGCGGATGCGCTTTGACGGTGTGTGGGAAGACCCTATAAAGTAACTTTCTCGAAATTTTTCGTTGGCCTTTCAGATTTGGTAAATTTGTGACACGCATACGCGCACAAATATATAAGATCCAGCTTACGGAATAGGAACACGACAGCGACAAAGGACAATTAATTAGCGACATCATAGAGATATTTGAATTGAATGCGCGCGCGCGCTACAGATCCCGACCAGAGGATCAAACTGGACGGAACGAAGGCTGGCCACACTACTACCGTGAAATCCAGCATAGGCGATTGGGCACACTGGACCGCACCAGGATCTATATAAAGCGGGCCACAGCCCAGAGGAAATCACTCGGTCGGCTGCGATTAGGTCGAGTTAAGCTCCGTAGTAATCGGCGGAAGTCGCTTTTCGGGAGCCGGGTAATCGTGGCGTACCACCAAGGCGAACCCCGTTTTTTTTTCTTTCATTAAAGATAAATTGCTTATTTTTAAAGCAATGGCTTTATATGTCTTTAATTTTTCTGTCAATTTCTCTTGACTTGGATTTATTTCAATGCCAGTTCTCATTGTATCTATTACAATGCTCATAAAGCAATTCTTTTATGTATTGCTTTAAAACTATATGCCTATGTGTGTCGCAAGATTCAGATAGCCCAAACCAGTATCCATATTCTGCGTTTATTTCAATATCGCATTTGCCAATACTATTTTTTAAAATATTTTTTTGATGGTGAAATTTTTTAAACTCTATCAAATACTTTAGTATGTAACATTGTTACTTGTACTAAAGCAATAGAGGGATTTATTAAGTTTATACCCGACTCTTTTTCAGATTCAATTAACTGAATAGATTTTTTCTCTGTACTTTTGTATTTGCATTTGCATTGAATACCGTTGGGGAAAAATATCGTATATTTTCCCCAATTTAAGCGAAATCGCATTTTTTAACCCAATATCTTCTGCGATTTCACTTTCAACTGGATCGAGATAGATAAATGGGCGCTCTTGTGGAGTGTTAGAAAATAAATTTATGTTTAAATTATTTTCCTTCATTATTAGTTGGGAAACTGTTGGAATTTTTTTCTCCAAACTGGTTAAATAAAATAAAAATAATAATCAATCGGATCTTGATTGAAACGGCTTAAGGAGGCGGTGATGCCGTTTTGAAAAAGTTTGTTGCCAATTATATTTATGTAATTGCAATCTTTTATAAGTCCTTTTATGCAAATAGCCTGAGACTGTGTACCCGTTATTTTATTGGGTAATATTGTTCCAGTTTTCAAATAATTCTGAAAGCTTTTTAGTTTTAAACTTGTATCTTCATTGAAGATACCCTTGTTTAATACGGCGATGCCTTCGTTCATTTTTCTGAGGAACGAGGCAGTACTTTTGGCGATTTGATCATTTTTGAAACTACTACTAATAATTTCAATCGATCTTGCCAACTTTTCGGAAAATATTTCGAATGCTAATTCTGCATTCATATTGTGTACCATTCCTGCTGGATAAACATGGTCGTTTGTCATTTCTGAGACCATTGGAACGGTTTGGGGCTTGTTCCACTTTATTAAATTCCTCTATGATTTCCGAGGACACTATTTCAGTGCCGTTTGGAAATCATGGGTAATTAAATTATTACAAACACTTTTAAACAAGTGTGTAATATCATGAAATACATATGTACAGCAGCATATATTTCTGAAATCATCTCTGTTTGAGTGTGATTTCTCTAGCGCTTGAATGTTACAGCTATTTTGATCGCATACAACAGCGCGCACCAAGAGCCGAGCTTCTTTGCATAAGCCTAGTGCTTTTTCAAGTAAATCTGCAATTATGTTGCCTTGATTTACACTGCAAATGAATGCAGCGCATATTAAAGCTGTGAATTCACAGTTTAGGCCAGTGGCTATAAAAGCCAACATTCCATTTGCTGGGTTACTATACAAGTCATTATCAGACTTGCCATCACCCAGATCAATAAGCCTCACCGCTTTGTCAGTAAGATATTCATATTTGACTTCGCTTTTAATGCGCATCTCATCAAATATTATAATGCAATTCCTGTCGCATGCATTCATTTTTTCTACCAAACTTTTTAGTTGGAAGAAATTTTGTCCTTCAAAACCAGGCGTAATGTCTTTGAGTGGCAAATAACCTGACCGGTGCATATATCGCACTCGTCGATGGTGACTCTTCTATGGCACTTCCATCTGACGCCCAGTTTGTACTTATTGACGAACATTAGGCTTCATCGCTACTCTCATAAATGTCTTGCACATTTTCTATATTACAATACTTTGAGAGGTGATCGCGATGTTTTTTACAAAAATTTAGTTCATTATCTGAACTACATTTTTGTTTTATGGTTAAGGACTGAGATATCATTATATTTGTAATGATATCATCCTTTACCACTTTGGTCATTTTCTTCCCCTTTCATTTTTTAATGCAACAAAACACGAAATTTTGCCAATTTGAAATTCATTGTCGTGCATTGGTGGCCACCCTAAGTATTCTGTGGGCACGCTACCTTTTCTGAGTATTGTGCCCACAATACATTTTGCCTTAAAATGCTTTAGCCAAATTCGATCGCGTTTTTTTAATTTGGCAATCTTTGTGTTATCAATCCACTGTTTTTTGGAGTGGATTGGGAAGGTAACTTGGTGACCTTAACAATTTTTAATTATGCATTTATTGCTGAAAATGAATAGAATACATGAAAATTGATAGATATTTCAAATAAAAACATAACACCAAACAATTTACAAAAAAAAAATGAACATAAATTTCAGGCTCCGGTAATCGAAAATGGCAAGATTTTTTCATTTTCATTTTTGAAATCGAGAAATTGGTGCTCCGGTAATCGAAAACGAAAGACTTTTTCGATTTGAAAAACGGGCACCTTTTTCTGTCCGGAATGAAAAGTAAACGGCTGTTTTTATATGAAATCAGATCTTATTTAGTTTACTCAGTAGTCTATTGATGTTTATTCCACAACACCACAAGATCATTCTGGCAGGTAGTTATTTTATAAAAAATTTATTTCTGACCCACCTCAGATTTGACAACAAAATTTTTGCCGTGTTTATCAAGTTTTCTCGTTTTGGCGATAGGTCGATAAGTCCATCGCAAAAAGTTATCGCCAAGGTTGCCATATTGTTGGTGGAACGAAACAGCCAGTTAAAAATGCTTATAAAACATAAATGAATACATTAATAACTTTAAAGGAGAGCCAAAATTGTTGTTTATAAATAATGCTATTTAATTTGATTGCTTAAATGGTCAAAATTGACCAAAAAAGCAATTGGGACCACCGGAATTAAAACTGAAAAATGTGGCAGCCCGCTCTTGTGGAAATCAGCTGTTTTAAGTTGACTTCATTTTTTAAAATGTAAGTGCACAAATATTAATTGCTTATTTTCAATTAAACAGCTTTTAATTTCAGGGGAAAGCACAAATCAACTTTCCAGAATGAGGTCATCCTGGGGTTTATGAAGAACAACCCAGATTTGGCCAGGGGTTTCAGTAAGGGCGACAAGGTGGCTTGAGAGGCGAAGTGGGCAGAACTTTGCAGCGCCTTGAACGACGTTGGCCCTCCGACCAAAGATGTTGGAGGTTGGAAAAGGGTATTGTCCAACAAATATAAGAAAAGTTGTTTATTATAATAATATTTTCCAGATTTGGTGCGATTGGAAGGCGACAATTCGTAAGAAACTTGCCAAAAATAAGGCCGAGATCAGGGCTAGAGGTGGGGGTCCCTACTCCCAGCTCGCAATAAGCGAAGTGGAGGAGGAGGTTGCAAAGTTATGCGGTCTCTACGAGATGGTGAACGGAGTTGACGGTCCAGCATATGGAGTTCCACCCACCATGAAGCATGAGCTGGATCAAGGAAGCGAGGAGGAAACCGAAGAACCTGCAGAAGCACCCTCCCTTCTGAATACTTATAATGAGCCGAAACCAAAGCATCGTCGCCCGAATCCTGCAGCTTCTCTCGACCTGCAAAGCATGTGCGAGGCTAAGCAACATCATTAGTCAGCTCAATTCTTTCATGACGGAGCACTTCAAGAATATGGAGGAGCTGCATAAGGAGCCAATTGCAGTTCAGAAGGAGGATATAGAACTTAAGAAAGAGCTTTTAAATAAATTTAATGATATTCTAAGTAAATTAGAGAAATAAAACATCTGTTAAGGTAAATAAGTAGTTCTTATTTTTGTTCATATTTCATATATGTATGAGCAATTTCATCTCGTTCAGATTCTCCCTCATCTCCTTCTACTTCATTGTCGTATAAAATATCTTGTGTGTCGTCAAATCGATATTCCTCCGAAATGTTCAAATTTCACCTTCTACATAAGTTGTGCAGAGCACAGGATACATTTACTATTCTGCAACAAAACAATGGCTCATATATTGAGCATCGTTGTAGGCAGCGAACTCCAATAGTCCGTTCGACAATGTTTCTAGCTCGAGAATGCCTTAAATTAAAGGTATGGCGATATGTTCCATACTCTGCGCTCCTGTAGGGAGTTAAAACAATGCTCTCTAGCGCGTATCCGGAGTCCGCCAATACAAAATGACGGTTTATAGTGGTAGAGAGGTATTCTTTGGCACTGGAATGATTCCATATAAAAGAGTCATGGCAGGACCCAGGGTGAGTGGCACCAATGGCGATGATCTCCATGTTGCTGTTGCAAACCTCAGGAATTAATAGGTTTTTAGGTTTTAATAACAGATTTCTTTATTGTACTTACTACCATGGCGTTTAAACTATAATACCCCTTTCTATTAAAGAAAACAGAGGAATTATTTAACGGCTTTTGTATTCTAATGTGAGTTCCATCCAAAAAGGCAACTATTCTTGGCAGTTGATATTTTCTTAAGAAGTACTCGAAAGATATCTGCATTTGTTGCCTAGACATTTGGAGGCTTATCGCATCCTGACAGAGAAGCCTGTCTAGCAACGGAATAAATACATGCAGAATCTTCCCGAATGTACAGCATCCAAAGTTTATCTGATAATCCTTGGCCACTGCAAGCTGGTAGCAGCCAGTATCTAGCTATCGCAATACAGCAGCCAATTGGATTGGAAATAGACAATGTCGTAACCTTCAAATGTGGCTTGACTGTCTCCAAAATCCTTCTGAAAATATATTTGTCAATCCTATAGAAATTAACAAAGCTGAAAAACAAAAATTTACTGGCGGAATGTTCAATATCAGTAAATGTGATTTACCTTTCGTCGGTCACATTGAAAATACATGTATAGAATCTTAGATGCCCAGATTTTCTTAGTTGAAGCAATTTCTGCCTCTTCCTGGCTTCAAAACACGCAATCGAAAATAGAAATGGCATTTTTTTAGTTTGTTTACTTGACCAAACTCACAAATCAGCTGTTTGAGCGTAAGAATAGACATTTAGCAAAACGATAGCAGAAATTTTCCGAAAACTGGAGCAGCTAAAAACGGAAACGGTTCGTTTTCGCCCAAAACGAAAACGAAAAAATTTTTCGATTACCGGAGCAGGCCTGATTATTAGCAAAATTTTAAATGTTATAATATTAAACCTATTGGTTTTACTGATTAGTCAATTAGTTATTCAAGTAAACAAAATTTTCACTTGATGGCATACCCTTCCCTCAACAGTAAGCTTATTGATTTCAATTGTAATATCTTTAATGGCATCCTTAAGCGTTAAAGGCTCAAAATACATTTTTTTAAACCTAGGCTCTAAAAAGGTTGATTTAACCAAATTGAGATTGTTTGAAACGGCTGAAACCTCTTTTCAGAAAATCTGATAAGCGCTTCCTTGGCTCGTTTACCTTCCATCGTCTCCATTTTCAGAGTTTTAAATTTGTCTGCTAACATTGAAATAAGTGGTATTACTAAACTTACAGTTACGTAATGTTCTCCACTTATTTGCCCTGTTGCCTTTTGGAAAGGTTGAATGAGACCACATAAGTCTCGACTACATAAGTATTTGACACGTTCTGATTTCTGTAGCAAAATAAGAGCCACCTAGTTCGCTAAGCCTGAAAAGGACTCCATCATGTCCAGGCAAGAATTCCACCTGGTGTCTACATTTTGTATGAGGGTTTTGATTTTTCCATCGGGAGTGTTCTCTCATTCGTTTGGGCCTTTCGTAGTTGGTCCATCATAGCTGGACTGTGCTTAAAATGCATGACCACCCTTTTTATTTTATCAACGTTAGTGGAAAATGAACTTATTTCCTTAATAGTTGCATCTACTACACGGTTAATGCTGTGGGCGAAACACGGCACATGTTTGTTTAATCCAAGAAACAGTCTGGAAGCACTTCATGTTGCTTGCGCTGTCTGTCGTGAGAGTTGTCCACTTAATTTGATCTATTTTAAATTCGGCGCACGTCTTTTCCAACAAAAAGGTTACAGAATCACTGGTACACTCATAAAAATGTTTGGATTGGATAGTTGGATTAACGTGACTTATTGTTAATTTAGTAATTCTCGTTATTGATCCCTGTTTTAATTCATATACCTCTCGTATAACATAAAAATCAACAAGTCCGTCAGGGGTTTCAAAATTGGCTTTTAGTAAATTATTTCTTTAAGATTTGAAAAGATGCGGAATGTCATAAGACATATAATATTTTTTATTATTGAAGATAAAGTAAGGTACATTTTTTATTGCCTCCTTAATCATACACGACGCCTCTTACTTTAAACCCAATATTTTCAGCAATGTTCATATTTTTATAAATAAGTCTTTTCAAGCACTCTCCTTTTATATTTGTTTCAGACACAAAATAGTTTAATATAAATTTTCAGTTTATATATATATGTATATGTAAATATATACATACATATATATATAACAAAAACGCAAATGTCGCTTTCAATTTTATTTGGACGTTTAGTAAATGCTCTAAGCCATCAATGACGTCAACAGAGAAATTGTATGTTACACTCTTTTTTTTGCAACTTCATCATAAGTTATTATGCATTCTTTTTCAGATTCAGAATTTCCTTTATAGTATCTTTAAGGGCTGAGTACAAAGATTCGTTGTCTCCCAGCTGTAATTTTTTTATGCTATTCCATTTATTTTCAAAGAGCCCCTCAAAAACATTTAAGTTGTAATAAATGCTCTGAGCGAACAACTTTTCGAAATCATTCCATCTCATATTTGCTCTATTTTTTTTTTTGTTAAGAAGCTTTTTTGCCAAAATTTTTTCGTTTCCAGTTAAATTCATTTTGCCAATTTCAAAAAGTATGTTTTTTTTTTTTTAATTTAACTTCCAACCTAATCACCTTTCGTTTAAAAAAAAACGATACTGATAATGAGCCCAAACCAATGCGTCGCACAGTAGCGCCTTTTCTCATTCTACGTTGCAAAAATCATAACTTTTGAACCAAATAAGATAATAGAAAAATTTAAACGGCATTTGACAGGTACTTGTTAAAAATGTATATATGTACTGCATAAAGTTCGTACCCAAAAATTCGCCTTTTTATAGGGTATCAAAGTGAATAAATATTTGTTTTCCTTTGAAAACGAATTTTTAAAGTTATAAATTGTTTTGCTTTACTTTTGTTTCTTTCAAATAAAATTATTTTGAACACTGAAAAAATTTTTAGTATTTTTTGTTGTTTAATTTTAAATACTTATTACTAAATATATGCTTACCTATATTTGGTGAATTTTTAATAGATTAAGCATTTCTGGACTATAATCACTTAAGGGGTTATATACAGTTGTACCGCGCAAAAAAATGCAAATTTGTCGATTTTTTTTTTTTTTTGACATCATAAAAAATATTTATTAAAAATGTTTTGCCGGCGTTGATTAGTACATGTTTCTGGGTACTTTATAAATTTTTTTCATAAAAAAATATTAAATAATAAAAAATATTAAATATTAAAATATTAAATAATAAAATTAAAAATTATAAAAATTCCAATATCGTCTTTTTTTCGGTGGTGACTTGCGGTGGACATCATATCCCGAGAACGGTTCATCCGAAATCAAAAATTCAAAAAAATTTCGTTAGTATATTGTATTGTCCAGTCGTTTAGACCACGGATTTGTAAAAATTTTGATTAAAAAAAAATGGTGCCGCTTTTAACAAAAAATTTACTTTTTCAAGGTATTATAGTATGCACACATATCGAATACGCACTGTACTTAAAGGGTGCGCACTGTAATACTCTGTTGCAGTGTTTACGTATTTCAATGTCCTGATCATAAACCTTAAGTGGCCGAAATATGAACCGATCGCTATGGCTTAGCCCGCACACAGAAAGTGCTAGCGTCGGCATATTTGTAACGAACGGACTGCACACCCATACCCCTCGCGCCACCACTTGAGTGCGCATAGCCAATGTACATAAGTACATTCCTTTATACATAAGCATATATGTATATATGCAGCCGTCTCTCTGCCGCCGCCTGCGAGCAGCGCAGCTACGAGACCTAGCTTAAATTAAAACTTAAGGAATATTGTAAAAATCAGAAACTCTTCGAGCGTTGGAGAGGCACCATAGCTGCTCCAATTTAAAACACTAAAATAAAACTAATAAACAAATAAAACCTAAATACCAAAGTCTTATCAATAAAAACTTGGGAATCCTGGAACTTCGGAACAATCTTATTTCATGGCGACCGTGACATAGGATATGCAATAACAAACAACAACAACAGCAACAATAAAAAGTGAAATAATAAATATTTGTGATGGGAAGGGCCGGCGTGAAAAATCGCATGAAGAAGAGAATAGCCCATTTAAAGTGGCTTTTATACACTAATATGCCACGACCGCCGTGGGCTACAGCCCAGAAACTTGAAGCGGAGCTCGATTTTCTGAAAACAGAAGTGAAAAAGCCAACACTAAAAAGCCCAATCCAAACTCACCTCGCCACCAAGCAAATAAAATCAATATATAACGAAACAACAAAACCTCCTCTTCCGAAGCCAATCCCAAAGAAACCGCAAACCTGCCCGATCGACTGCCCCGGACCACTCAACTCTGCGGCATGCAAATACGCATGTATGAAGACCTGTGCGAAGACCAGCACCGGTACCGCCTGAGCCCATAGGCCCAGGACATCAGCAGCTGAAAACATCAGCAGTGTGAGTGGCAGGCCGCCTCTTACACCTACGAGGGAGCGTCAGCAAAGCCAGGCCGGCGACGACCAGCTGACGCAGACAACACTGGACCCTGACGCAGCCCAAATATTTTAAACATTTTTGCACTGCGTTGCATATTTTTTTGCGAGTGCACTACGATGCACCTTATTTTTTAACAATAATTTGTACATTTGAGCGGAATTTCTTCTGCCCGATTAGAAGTGTAGACTGTAAAGCTATGCGGAAAATTAGGTAGGAATTTTGTAAAACCAGATGCGCGATAACGCGATCAGCAAACATTTTACAGAAGACGAAAGTAAATTCAATAAAAATTGCAAATTTCCAATAGAACCAAAAACCTGTCTTAATGGAATTAATAGGATCAGTAACATTTTTATAGAGAGTCAAAATAATACAGTATATGAACCCAAAGTATATGAAATAACAACAAAAATGACGCTAGATATGGATTCCACTGCAAACGTCATCAACAAAGTAGAATCGAGTAACATCGATCTATATTGGGTGCATATACTCCTCATAATCATTGTCGTTATTATGTGCTCTAACTTCTTTTTCAAAATTTACAAAAATATATCTGCCGCCGCCTGCGAGCAGCGCAGCTACGACACCTAGCTTAAATTAAAACTTAAGGAATATTGTAAAAATCAGAAACTCTTCGAGCGTTGGAGCAGCACCATAGCTGCTGCGTTGGAGCAGCACCATAGCTGCTCCAATTTAAAACACTAAAATAAAACTAATAAACAAATAAAACCTAAATCCAAAGTCTTATCAATAAAAACTTGGGAATCCTGGAACTTCGGAACAATCTTATTTCAGTATACGATTTTCGATTTTTATGCTCTAAATAAATAATGCGGCCTATTTTTTGACTACTTTTTGAAATAAATTTTTTATAAAATAACTGCCTGCCAGAATGATCTTGTGGTGGTGTGGAATAAACATCAATAGACCAATGAGTAAACTATTGGGAAACGGCATGATTTTTTCGTTGTCGTTTTTGAAAACGAGAAATTTGTGCTCCGGTAATCGAAAACGAAAGATTTCTTCGATTTGAAAAACGGGCACTTTTTTCTGGACGGAATGAAAAGTAAATCGCTTTTTTTATATGAAATCAGATCTTTTATTTATTTATTTATTTTGACAAAATTAGCCCAGTGCTACAAGTATAAAATACTTATTATTAATGCCCTGGTCTTATTTACAACAGGAAACAAATAGTTTACTCCGTGGTCTATTGATGTTTATTCCACACTACCATAAGATCATTCTGGCAGGTAGTAATTTTATAAATTATTTATTTCTGACCCCACCTCAGATTTGACAACACCATTTTTGCCGTGTTCAACCAATTTTCTCGTTTTGGCGATAGGTCGATAAGTTCACCGCAAAAAGTTATCGCCAAGGTTGCCATACTGTTGGTGAAACGAAACAGCCAGTTAAAAATACTTATTAAATATAAATGAATACATTAATAACTTTAGAGGACCGCCAAAATGGTTGTTTATAATTAATGCTATTTAATGAGATTACTTAAATGGTAAAAATTAACCAAATTATTATTTGAGACCACCGGAATTAAAACTGTGAAAAGTGTGGCAGCATCTTAGGTGCCTAGATTTGCTTATGCCCATATGATACACTAATGCAGTTTTCATTAAGGGGGTCTTCTCAATCAAAAGCTGTTTTTTGGACCCTTTTTAAAAAAATTCTT